CTCGGCTCGCTAAGGCTCGAGCCGAAAGCTCGGGCTGAGCCCCATTTGTTTGGCCGAAAGCTCGGGCCGAGCCCAAAAAAGTTCTCGAGCCAATCCCAATTTTTGAATTTCGGCTCGTGGCTCGACTCGATTAGACTCGTTGACATGGCTATCCACCACCCCAGCCCCCAATCCCAGTGAGCAGTGGCTACATTACCAGGGTCTCATGGGCCTTGTTAATGGTTGGCCGTCCAGGTAAAGAAGAAGGGTTATACCACTTTGACAAAAAGTGGTAGACAGATGGAGTGACATAATGGTAGTTGATAACATATAATTGGATGAAAAAATTAATTGCATTCAAAACAGTCAATGATGATACGTCATGTGACATCATTGTATTAATGATTACGTCATTGTAACATGATTCAGAACAGAATAACTCCGTCCTGAATCCCTCACCAAACAGGCTAACAAAGATATTTTGCAATGTAAAATTAGGTCAGTGTGCAAATGACAAGGGGTAGAAAAAGAAATAAGAGGGAATTAATTCCTGTAGAGGACGAAAATTTTCATAAGCCCTATTTAAAATAATGTTTTTTCAAGAAAATGGCCACCAGGAGAACATCACTTTTGCTATTATTTTTATTTTGTACCGTAAACATGAGGGTCAAGACGGTGAAAAGTACAGTTAGCATTTCATTTGAAGAAGAATTTTTTTTTTTTTCCGTACGTTGATTCTTTTCATCATGTAAATAATTAAAATTAAAAATGAATAATTAAATAAGTACAGCAAGTTAAAGCTCTTGTTTAGTCAACTTAATTTTAACCAAACATTTCATTGGATCCACCACTTTTCAAACACACATTATATCAATTTTTATCAAAATCTATTAAAAATAACCAAATTGGAGCAAAAATTTTCCCTCCTTTTTTTTTTTTTTTTTGAAAGTAATATTTTTTTCCAGATCCCTTGTGGGTTGCAGCTCAAAATGTCAACAGAAAATAAAAAGCTTTTTTATTTAGCAACTATTAACATATATAGTGGGTTCTATAAATATTAAATACTATTAACTCATGAGTAATAATATTCGTAGTGAACAACTATCGTAATCATCTCATGTGACATATATTTAATCATTTAATTTGTTAATCAATAATTCTTAATATGGATGATTAAGTCATTAATTATATGCTGCATGGAATGACTATGGCAGTCGCTCGTTATAAATAGCGTTACTCTTAACTTATATATCACTCTTTTTTTATCTTTCTATAAAAATAGTTCATGTTTGACATTCGTTTCTTAAAACTTATCTTTCCTCCAAACTTAGTTTCGGTCACACATTTTATTTGACCCATAATTTTTATTTATTTTTCAATCGTATATAAACTCCATTAGAATAGAATTTTTACAAAATCTATTAGAACATAATTTTTACTCAAACTATGTAGAGGCTAAATCGTTATAAACGACTCTCAAGTATGCCCTTAGATTGCACAAATAAATGTAGATAACGGATAAACGACGAATTTCAATATTTCAGGATACGAGAAAAATTCAAAAAAAAAAAAAAAGGATGTAGATTGATGTTTGACGTGTGTTGTTAAAAAATGATTGGAGGGAATTTTTTTTTTTTTAAACTGTCGAATTATGTATTGTCATTTGACAAAGCGTAAAGCAT